GGCATTGCCGAACGTGTAGTGTGTGGAAAAACTTTTTGGTTGAATCAAGAGCCAACAGCCCCCGTGAACATCTCTGCTGATATTCTGGAAAGCAACAAAGAAAATTGTAGTGTTAACCTATACTCTCTGCCGAATAACGTCCACTATTCTCTGTCTCCTGTCGATATTTTCCTGGCCCTCGTGAAATATGGATTAGCTATCGCGTTACCTCGTTCAATATAGACGATAGTATACCGGTGACAATTGACGACTGCAATAAATGGCATGTTGGAGTAGGATTGATTGGAGTTGCCATGACGACCAAAATAAAACCCATATTCTCCATCAGATATCATATGTCATCATATGCGCCGATGCAGTATTATGGAGTGATATAATTGTCACAAGGAAATTAGTCCAATTGGAAGAATGTTCAAGAAATATGAATTTTTGTACTATATAGTTAGTTCTACCAAAGATGTTGAGATATTTACACAAAAGGTAGGTATCAAATTGGAGACTTTACTATGGTAGAAAACAATTTGTTTCAATTGATTATATACTAACCATAACAAAAAAAAGATTTCGAGTCCAACTCGCTTGACATAAAAATAGGTACCAAATCCAATCTATAGGACTAGTTCTTTTTAATATATACATAAACCAAATAGAACAGATATCTATAGATATATACATTTCACGATGTACTTATGACGACAACACATCGTTGATTATATTAGGAAAAAAATGTTCTTGACATACAATGTTGCTCGGCAGTAAGTGTTTGCTTCCAAAATTAATTGTATCGTCATCGTCCTATCATTTGATAACATTTTACTCAGTACAAAGATTAACGGAGACCAAAAATATTATTATCAATGATACAATATTAGAAAAAGAGATCTCAAAGTTTTTTTTTTTTGAGTTTCTAACATGGGGAAACACATTGTACTAACTTGATATGAAACTTACCTCTCTTACTTTTGAATTCAGAAAAATCAGGATATTTTCATCTAAAGACCGAGCTTCTTTTAAGTGGATTAACGTTTGAGATATGAGATTCACCTGCATGGGCGTCATTTGGGGGGCTTTGGGCGATTACCCCCCTTCCGTGATTTTATTTAAAAACTCAATTGTACTTCGAACCTTCCTGTTACCACATGATTATTGAAGAATAATATTATTTCAAGGTTCCTGAAACATCATTCAGTATAATGAGCAGAGATCATACATGAAATATCCCTGAAAAAAAAGGCAAATCACAAATTTTCCTAAAATATAAAAGTTTGCGCCTTCAGCAATTTGACAATATCAACGAAATAACGCATTACAACCACTACCCACCAAGTATAGTACACAAAATCTGCAACTTCATTGAGATATTTTCATTTAATGAAAGTATGAGAGAAAATCCCATAATGTCTGCAAAACATCCACGCTCGGTTAACCTTCAGAAAGTACTTGAAATTATTTTCACTTGCTCTCCTCATTGTTCTTATTTTCAGATAATTTTATATCGATCAGAACAAACTGAGAACATAGGATTGAATAATTTATAACATGGTGATGTGCTGGAGTTGTTGTTACTCTGGAAAAAATCTGATTTTCAATTTGAAGGAATTTGACCCTGAATCCCAACCAACATTTTTTACCAAATAAAAATTGCTTTCTGAGGTTCTTGGCCCCCCCTTTCTTGTATACACTGAAATGGAGTTGTCTCATTTTCTTGAGCCCCTTGGTATTCAGTGAAATTACGCTCCTGTTTACCTGATATATTGATTGGAGAAAAACGAATAAAATCATTATGTTAAATTTGTAACAATATTTGAACCGTCACGTCTTTGATTTCTGAACATTTATTTAGTATGGTGCAAATGAAAGGAATAAATCAATTTCTAGCCAAACGGTTCATTTTTGTGAAATCTCCTGAAACATGTCGATTTTCATTTCCTTTTTCCACATTTATAAGTGAAAATTGAATATACAGGGTGATCCACATTTGAGTTCTGACGTCCGCGGTAATTTTATCAAATGGAACACCCTATAGATTATTAAATTTTTTGAATCTCCTTGAAAAGCTGAATTCCAAAACATATTATACATAGATTTCGTAAGGATTAATTTTTTTCAATTCAGCTTTTCATGGAGATACCAAACATTGAATAATATATAGGTTGTTCCATTTGTCGTAAACGTCAGAGCTCAAACGTGGATCACCCTGTATATTCAATTTTCACTCATAAATGTGGAAAATTTAAATTTAAATCGACGAGTTTCAGGAAATTTCTCAGAAATAGAAAGTTTGACAATAGAAATGAGTTTATTCCTTTCATTTGCACCATATCTGTATGTGTATATTCTTGCATAAAATCGATCAGTTGAATGTTAACTATAGTCGTTTCACTCTTTTCGTGATCACGTCATCTGTCATTTCTCGCCAAGGGGTGAAGATCCGATCAGAAAAAACATTATTTGTAAAAGTGATAACACGCACGGTATACAATAAATGCACCAATCGTCGAACAAAGCTTATAACCCCAGTTTTCCAGACGTAATCTACATGAAGAGATTGACAGATATCACTGGAGAGCAAACAAAATCCCGACGTAATATCTCCTTTCAGTGAGATGCCTGAAAATATACGGAATATAAATGTCTCATTGGTATTCGAATATTTTGCAGAGGGATCACAAAAAGTATTATAGTGTTGCAGAGGGATTTTATATACCGGAATACCGTGATATCTCTCTTTGTATTCATTATATTGCGATAGGTACCTATATACAGGGTGACATTCTCAATCTCAATTGGGAAGGGGGGTCAAGTGGTACATCATTTTGAAGGGTGTTCAATTCTCTTTCCAAGGTGACCCTAAGTTATCATTTTTTGTTAAGCAATTCTCAAAAAATGCCGTGTGAAAAACATGTAAAATCGAAAAGACAGGTCAATTTCATTTTAAAGGAAGACACTTCAAATGCATTTTTTTAGCCAGCTCTCTTGGTTCAACTTCCTTAGAACCTCATATAAAAAGAGGGGTCAAGATGCACATCATCTTGAAGGCCGTTCAATTCTCCTTCCAACAGTACACTAGGTCATTATTTTCCGATGAGCAGTTTCAGAAAAATGCCGTTCTAAACTTACAGAAGTAATCAGAACGTGCCTATATATTAGATATATTAGATCAGGTAACATTCATCACTATGCTGATGACACACAACTTTACAGCTCTTTCAATTTCCATAATTCTAAGCTCGCCGAAGAAGATATCAACAGGAATTTACAGTTATTGTTCGATGCCTCCTGTGACCATAATTTGAAACTACTGAATTCGAAGAAATCCCAAGCTATGCTTTTTGGTTCTAAATGTGTGAGAAAAGAATTATGTGATTCTCTTTCAATCCAAATTAACAAAGAAGTAATTCCCTTTGTGGATGCATGTAAGAATTTGGGTTTATGGCTAGATACTGACATGAGATTCACTAAGCACGTCAACCATTTATGCCAATCCTCCTTTAATGTATTGAGACAACTTTATCCGAGTAGAGATATTTTATCGAAAAGAACTAAATTAAATCTTTGCGAATCCCTCATTTTTTCTAGATTGGCGTACTGTGATTGTATCTACGGACCTGCTCTTCTACAAACTTATTCTACACGTGTGCAAAAAATTCAAAATAGCTGTGTTCGTTTTTCATATGGTATCCGCAAATATGAACACATTAGTGATGCCTTTCATGACTCTGGATGGCTGAAACTGAAACACACGAGGAAAATACACCTACTCACTTTCACCCACAAAATTTTGACATCTGGTTCACCGCCATATTTACGTAATAAAACTTTCTAAACTATCACTAAATACAGGGTGGTGCAGAATTCAGAATCTTGATCACCCGGTATATGTCCCAATTAAATATCAGTAGATAGTTAATCAAAAGTTGGGATAAGCCGTTTTGACCAATAATGAATAGTTTCGACAAAAACATTCCTAAAGTTGAAAAATGACGATTTTTCACACCCTATATCTCTGTAATCATTTCCGCTTGACCCCAAGTGTGATACATCGATGAAATCAGCTCTTCAGAGGAAATCTGAAAATGCAATAAAATACAGGGTGTTCCATTCAAAATAACAAAGTTGTTGCTACTTTTCGATAGAAGCGGCAACGCCGCAGAGCTGAAAATTTTAGATCGATAGACCAAGAGCAACTACGTGAGTAACCAGAATTTCAGAATGATCCTATGTCCCGTTCTCCATAAACGTCTAACGTACCATCGACCGTGAGTTACCCTGTATAGCCGTTCACAATAGGATATAGTTCATGCAAAGTCAGTTGAAGTGATCATCAAAGGAATGTCGGGCCGCGCTGCCGCTCCCTTTGTACTTTCAAAGGGACCGACGGCCCGCGGTGATGTATTGTTCCAACTGACTTTGCATAAACTTTACTGTCGGTTCGAATCCGGCTATCGGCTGAGCGTTTTTCTTCAAAATGTGGTTGTAATCCTGGCAGCACCTCGATGCCCTAGAAGTGGTTCGAATTTCACTATAAGCAGTAAGTCCCGCTCTTCCTAACCCCGCACAAGTTTCAACTTCTGGGGAGTTGGTTTCCAGCTTTGGAGTAGCGATATGTAAATTACACAAAAAAATTTTCAAAAATGTATAGGTGATCCCAAAGTGATATGCAGATATGTCAAGGACATTGTTTCAGAATAAGACTTCGTTTTCCAAATAAACATGCGTGTCCTCAAATGAGCCCTATTGTTCTCCAAATGAATAGGTGTCCTAAAATGCACCCCCTTTCAGCTCCGATCACTGTAAATTACGTGAAAACGATTATTTGAAATTGCGACCACAACAACGTATCAAATCTTCTGAAAATTGACATTGCCCATTTTTTTAGGCACTCAATTCAATTCAATTGCTTCAAAATTATGTAAATACAGTTTTTTGCAAGTTAGAGCATACAAAGTCACAGGTATATGGCCCAAACTATATGAAGAAGAAGAAGAAAAACTCATATCATTTGCACATTTTTTTCTATTACAAAAATTAACTTATTGTACAGGATGATTCACCATAAATGTCCCTCCCCTCTAGCTCAGTTATTTTTGAACACATCGGCATTGGTTTTCAGCGAGTACCGATGATGCATTATCAAGAAATAAAACATGAAGGTGATTGTTTTTTCAGAATTCTGTAGTCTTTATTTTGCATCATTAGTGACCATCCGAAGATTGCTTGATTTTCTTCAACGATTGTTGAATTTCCTCAAGAGTCTTACCTCTTGTGTCAGGTATCAAGTAGAATGATAATACAGTTGATACGATATTACAGCACCCAAATACAAAAAGAGGAGCATACAACCCGAAAGTGGAATAGAGATAATAAAAAAAGTAATTTGCCGTCAATAGAGATAACCCGAATGCTATCATAACTACGCTCACAGCTTTAGACTTGATGCTTGCCGAGAAAAGTTCCCCCAACATTAATGTGGGGATGACCGCCAATCCATAAGAGGCAAAAATTTGGTACAGAATCATCCCTGTGAGTGGGACCCAACTAAAAGATGACACATCTATCTGAGGATAATTTTCATCAATAAAGAGATACACTGACATCAAAATCAACATAAATCCAGATGGTAGTGAAGACATTATATAGCAAGTTTTTCTCTTCAAACTATGTATAACAAAGACAACCACTAACAAATTCAAAGCAAAACTTATACCCATATAATATATCGAAGCTGCAGCCGAACTTACTTCTCCTCCTGCTTTTTCGAAAAAGAGTTGAGCATACACCAGGAAAACAGTGAGTGCTCCAAAGGATGGAGAAATCCTAAGGAATATCCCAGCTGCTAAAGCTCTTCTGTTACTTCGAACCACAATAAGATCTTTCCATCCTTTCTTTTCTGATAATTGTCGCGAAATATCACTTTTCATTTCGAGAAAATCTGCTTCTACGTTCTTCTTGCGACTGAACTTGCGCAAACTCTTTTTAGCTTCTTCGTCCATTCCTTTCATTGCGTAATAGTGCGGTGATTCTGGCATCATGCTGAATAGCACACAGAAGAGGATTGGTAACGGTAGGAAGATGTATGCAGTTTGTTTGATCGTGAAATAGTTTCCCACAATAGCAATCACTAGATATCCGAAATACATCGAAGAAATGAACAGACATCCCCAGGAGCCTCTGACCTGTGGGGTTGATATCTCTCCGATATAAGTAGGCAGTGCCGAGAATGCAATCCCATGGGATATGCCTGAGCAAAATTTCATTCCGTAAAACAGGTACACATTCGTTCCCAAGATTGTCAATAGCCAAGCAGACAGTTGAGGAATCGTGATCGACAGCAACATATTTTTCCTTCCTATCATGTCACAGAGTCTTGGAACCAATGTGCACGCTAGAATCATGGCGAGTGGTTCTATGATGTTGAAATAGGAAGTTTCGTCCTCTGTGATGTTGTAGTTGACTTTATCTTCTGTGATCTTCACTATGAAAGGAGAACTCCACGTGAGTAGAACACCGTTTGTAAACGGGGCCAGACACGCTGTGGATAGAAATTATCTGAATGAATTTTGGTATCCATGAGCAGATGGAAAATATCAGTGAAAATATCATTGAATCATTCACTTTTTATTTCATTCAGGGACAATCTTATAGGTTACCTTTCGATTCATCTCACAACGCTCACTGACCCTGTTGATCTCATAAAAGTCAATATTATCCTGATGTCAGTAACAATTAGCTATCAAAATTTGTGTCATCACTGTCATCAGTATTTTTTTCTAATATGATTTCATTGCATGAGGTCACTATTATGTATATGTAATATTCTCTCAACTGTGCTATTATCTTGTTTCAATAGAATGCCCCATCCAAAAGCCGATTGCAAATTTCGACCGTCTCAAAAATAAAATGCAATAGTATATTATTCAACGAGCGCATAATGATGGCTATTACCCACGAAGATGAAAGTTGCAGTACGAGCCGAAGGCGAGTGCTGTAATCATCTGAGTGGGTAATAGTCATTATGCGGAAGTAGAATACTATACTTTATCTACAACTATTCAAATATCGAAGCAACTCTGAGAGTTCATAAATTTATCTTTGAAAAAAAAGAAGGTTATTATATTGCAAAATCACTAAATCTGATTTTAAATACTCATTAATTCCATCGAAAATTTATTGACAAAGATTCCATTCAACGAACAGCTTATAACTTATTTCAATAATTTTGATTGTGAAAATTTGATGAACAATGTTGGATATAACTTTTATTAGCAGGAAAAAAGTCGTGCAATCACACTTCAGTCAATCTTACCAGGTATTATATGATATTTCACTTTTCAGTTGTAAAATGAATCATATACTATTGCAGATTATTCATTTTTTGCCGCGATGATTAATTGTAGTACCCTGTCTCTAGAAGCTAGTTATCAACAATGAAATTCCATGGTTCTGATTGGTCTGTACTAATCTATTCCAATAGCCTGTAGTCATATTAGTGTTAGTGTGTGCCTCAGATCATACAGGATCTAAGGTGTGAGCAAATCTGCAAGTGTCAAGTCCTATTTTATGGTTATGGTTACTCATGATGGTTACTCATGATGATAGTCACTGTTGAGGATGGAAAACAGTGAATTCTTATTTTTCCGTGTATTTGTAGAATTAAGATGTTTAAAACTACGAGAACAATGGTACGGTGGATTTGCGAACTAATAGAACGAATACCTACCTAGTTGAATTTGACAAGACGATGGGATGTCAAATTATTACGCCACCATACTGTCATTATTACTCTTATTACTCGATTCATCACAATAATGACTGCCATTAAATGTCGAAAATCGAGTAAGCAATGTATGAATGACTCCATAGTTGTAGATAATAGTATATTATTCAACGAGCGCATAATGATGGCTATTACCCACGAAGATGAAAGTTGCAGTACGAGCCGAAGGCGAGTGCTGTAATCATCTGAGTGTGTAATAGTCATTATGTGCGAGTCGAATACTATACTTTATCTACAACTATTCAAATATCAAAGCAACTCTGAGAGTTCAGAAATATATATTTGGTAAGAATGAAGGTTATTTCAGTGCAAAATCACTAAATCTGATTTGAAATACTCATTAAGTTCATCGAAAACCTATCAACAGAAATTGCAATCAACGAACAGCTTATAACTTATTTCAATAATTAATTTTGATTGTGAAAATATGATAAACAATATTGGATCTAACTCTTATTAACAGGAAAAAAGTCGTGCTATCACATATCAGTCAATCTTACCAGGTATTATATGCCATTTCACTTATCAGTTGTGAAATGAATCATGCTATTGCAGATTATTTATTTACTTGCTTCCGCTGTAGCGTTCCCCCACCGCGATGATTAATTGTAGTACCCTGTCTCTAGACGCTAGTTATCAACAATGAAGTTCCATACTTCATAAGTGTGAGCCAATCTGCAACTGTCAAGTGTCAAGTCCTATTTTATGATTATGGTTACTAATGATGGAAGTCACTGTTGAGAATGAAAAACAGTAAATTCTCATTTTTTCTTGTATTTGTAGAATTGAGGTGATTGAAACTATGAGAACCATTTAAGGTGCGTCTTTTGAATTTGCGTGTATTTCACAAACAGTAGTATAGTGGTGTGCTTTGGTAGAACTAGTAGAACGAATACCTACCTAGTTGAATTTGACAAGACGATGGGATGTCAGATTATTACTCCATCCTACTGTCATTATCACTCTTATTACTCGATTCATCACAATAATGTCTGTCATTAAATGTTGAAAATCGAGTTAGCAATGTATGAATGACTCCATAGTTGTAGATAAAAGTTATTATTCCAGTTCAAATTGAAATCTTGGATGATTTCATGTAATAGACATATTTTCCATGATATGTATTGTTGAATCATAGTCATGACTTCAAAATTCACTGATTATGGTCACCAGATTCTATCAACTTTAGACGAAAAGCCTATATAATATGATCCATCTTCACAAAAAGGCAAAAAAAATGTATAAAAAAAAAACAAACAAAAATCCTCATATTTTCTACTTTGTTCAACACTTATATAGAAATTATTTTGTATTCTCCTCATTTACAAATTATTCACAACTCTCTACTTTTCATTATTTTGTTTCCCACCCTTTCATTCACCTATGCCTCACTTATATATGTCGGATTGATTTAATTGATGTATTTTTTTGGTATATAAATTAATATCATTATTATTATTATTATTATTATTATTATTATTATAACGTAATGACCAAGGTAATGACATATGTCCCAAAGACATGTAAAATAGTATATTGTTCAACGAGCACGTAATGAATTTCCATGAGAATGAAGTTCGAATGAATCATTCGAGTGGGAAATTAGCATTCCGTGCGAGTTATGCACTATGATTTTTCTACGGCTGTAACAGATAACAGCGGCTTTTTGATTCCTTTATCTTGTAGCCATCTGATTTCCTGTCAAGTAATGTTCATCTATTAGACAGTCATTGCTTGAAATTTGACATTCCATGAGCGATGAGATTTTTTTGAAATAATAACGCAATGGAGTCATTCTGAAATAAGATACGGAAATAAAATTGATGACATACAAAGTACTTCAACACAGTAAAACAAGAGCAATTTTGTGTAATAGCCGTAAAAAAAATTGATTTTCTACAGCTATAACACAAGATTGGTCTTGTTTTACTGTGTTCTTTCTTAGAGAAAATGGAATGAAATATTCCACATATCGATTCATATTTGTTTCAAAATCAAGTTGATCATTTGCTCTTCTAAATTATTCACTCTGTTCCAACATTTCAACTCAAAGTTTCATTTCGTGTCTTTTCACTTATTCAAAACGATATTTTAATGAAAATTCAGGATTTCAAGAACCCCACAAGGATATTGTACAATAAGTAGTCCAGATTTGAAACCTTGTGACTAATTACTGTGAGAGGGGGGGATTATTTGGAGGCCAGGGTTCGCAGAAATGAAATGTCGAAGAATCTTGACTAAATCTTCAAAAACAGTTGGCGATCACGTGTGAAAAGATGATGTAGAGGATAACGAACTCGACAGGCCCAGTCAGCACATCCTTTCGTTGCCAACCTTCAAATATGTCGAAAACACTTTATCAAAACTCGTACGTTTATAGAACGGCAATGCTGTGGAATTCTTTGCCAATGGAAGTACTCCCATCGAGCACTTATTACCTCCAAAAGTTCAAAAAAATGCCGACACTCACATCCTCTCCCCATTCTCCCTAGGTACGCACGATGTTCTTTGAACATCAAAAATATTTTGTTTAGTGCGTTCCAAGAGATAAAAAAACATAGGTTCGATTATGAAGTTTTGTTTCATAATCATTTGGTGAGTATGAAATGTTGAAGGTTTTGGTTTTGTTTATATGGTGTTTTTCGAACAATAAATATGAGAAATTTGAATACCTAACGGATGAAAATAGTAGGTAATCAAGATGTGAAAACATGCCTGCCTTCATCTGTGATATAATATTATCAGCTATTTTCTGACAAGTTTTCATATCTACAGTGACTTTAAGGAAGTTGGAATCATAAGGGAAACACTTTTAATAATAATTCATTTAGAAACTCGCCTGATTGAAAAAAATATGAAAAATAGCCAATACTCGGTCGTGGTCGCGAGACTTTTGCTACATGACAGAAGTAACATGTTCACAAAATAACCGCTGAAAATAGGCTTACACTGAAAAAAATTTTTCATAGGTTTGGTGGGTTATTGGTACATTATGTGTTGAAACTGGTAGAATCAAGGGTAGGATTCCTTGGTGATCTTGGTACAAAATATGTTCACGTTGTGGCACCAATAGTTGGGCATAGGCAACAATAAGAAATAAAACATAAGGCATGATTGCTTCAATTCTGTAGATTTTATTCGAAATCATTGGTGACCATCTGGAGATAGTTTAATTTTCTTTAAAGATTGTTGAATTTCCTCAAGAGTCTTACCCCTAGTGTCAGGTATCAAGTAAAATGATAATACAGTTGACACGATATTGCAGCACCCAAATACGAAAAGAGGAGCGTATAACCCAAAATTGGAATAGAGATAATAAAAAATGTAATTTGCCGCTAATCCAGACAACCCGAATGCTACCATAACTATGCTCACAGCTTTAGACTTGATGCTTGCCGAGAAAAGTTCCCCCAGCATTAATGTGGGAATAACCGCCAGTCCATAAGAAGCGAAAACTTGGTACATAATCATTCCTGTGAGTGGAACCCATCTAAAAGATGATACATCTATCTGAGGATAATTTTCATCAATAAACAGATACACTGACATCAAAATCAACATCAAGCCAGATGGCAGTGAAGACATAATAAAACAAGTTTTCCTCTTCAAACTGTGTATCACGAAGAGAACCACTAACAAATTCAAAGCAAAACTTATTCCCATATAATATATCGATGCTGCAGCTGAACTCACTTCTCCTCCTGATTTTTCGAAAACGAGTTGGGCATACACCAGGAAAACAGTGAGTGCTCCAAAAGATGGGGAAATCCTAAGGAATATCCCAGCTGCTAAAGCTCTTCTGTTACTTCGAACCACAATTAGATCTTTCCATTCTTTCTCTTCTGATAGTTGTCGCGAAATATCAGTTTTCAATTCGAGAAAATCTGTTTCGACGTTCTTCTTGCGACTGAACTTACGCAAACTCTTTCTAGCTTCTTCGTCCATTCCTTTCATTGCGTAATAGTGCGGTGATTCTGGCATCATGCTGAATAGCACACAGAAGATGATTGGTATTGGTATGAAAATGTAAGCAGTTTGTTTGACCGTGAAATAATTCCCTACAACAGCAATCAATAGTTCCCCGAAATACATCGAAGAAGTGAACAAACATCCCCAAGAGCCTCTGACCTGTGGGGTTGAAATCTCTCCGATATAAGTAGGCAGTGCCGAGAATGCAATCCCTTGGGATATGCCTGAGCAAAATTTCATTCCGTAAAACAGGTACACATTCGTTCCCAATACTGTCAATAGCCAAGCAGATAATTGGGGAATCGTGATCAACAGCAAAGTATTTTTTCTTCCTATCATGTCACAGAGTCTTGAAACCAATGTGCACGCTAGAATCATGGCGAGTGGTTCTATGATGTTGAAATAGGAAGTTTCGTCTTCTGTGATGTTGTAGTTGACTTTATCTTCTGTGATCTTCACTATGAAAGGAGAACTCCACGTGAGTAGAACACCGTTTGTAAACGGGGCCAGACACGCTGTGGATAGAAATTATCTGAATGTATTATGGTATCCATGAGCAGATAGAAATTATCAATGGAGATATCTTCGAATTATATTCACTGGTACCTATTGAATTACTTGCAGAATCAGACACTGGTGTGGAAATATTCAATTTCAGTAAAAATCATGAACTGCTGTTCAAAAGTATTTGTGTTCAACTCAAATAACAAAACATATCCATAGCTACAAGATATACGAATATCATAAGAATCATGAGCTATGTGTAAAATCAGAATAGAAAGAACATTTTTTAGTGAACATTTTTGAAATTTAAAGATATTAGCATGTAATATCATGACTAAACCTGTAGCGAAAGTCAAGTGACCCCGACCGAATAGGCCATATTTTTCGTCTTTTCTCAAGCAAAAGTTAACGCCCAAGACGAATTTCAAATAACATTATTTCCAAAAGTCTTCCCCATAATATGATGCCAATTTACTCGGCTACGCCTCGTTAAAAAAATCAGATCTCGATCACCAAAGTAGCATTTCGCGCTCGAGTTGCAAACAAAATTTTTTCTACAAACGTCAAAAAATATAGTTCTAAAGTGAAAATATGCTTAGCTTGATATAAAAAATATGGCTTAAAAGGTCTCTCCCTATCCTCTTCAGGTACGCACGATGTTCCACGAACATAGTAGGAATTTCCTTTCGTGCGCTCCAAGAGAAAAAACAAAGTTATTGTTGAACAATCAGAAATAAATGATTTTGTGGATGTCTGCTCGATTGAGGACCATGAAGTTGAAATATAAATATCTCATATATTTTACATAACAATGCGCGAAGTAGGTACTTCGCGCACTGTTTTACTTCGCGCATTGTTTTATGCAAGGAATTATAGTAACGTAGGAAACTGAAAAAAAAGTGTCACTTCGCAATTTGTTATCAATGCGCGAACCTTGTCATTTTTTGACGTTTGTAGAAAAAAGTACATTATATATATTAATATATACTATTATTTCATCATGAGTGATAAACGCACGTTTCAGCGTTCTCATTCTTAGTCAAGAAATTTCAATATTTCTTCTTGACAAGAAATCTTAAAATTGATATGGAATTTCTTGTCTCTTCTTGAAATCTAAAATTACTTGTTGTCTTGATCATGTCTGGAGATCAAGACCAAGATCTTGAAATTTTCAAGGAGTTGGCGACCCCTACGGATAGCCCGAAGGCGAAGGCTGTTTACTGTTTTATCGAAAATATTCGGAAAATATGATGCAGAATATTTCAACAAATAGAAATCCTCAAGTTATGGAAAGACTTGTGAGCAGACTTACGTTCTTCACTATCAATGTGGAACTTCAAGACCAATTCTTACATTGACGGAGAAGAATATATCGTGTAGGAAGAGACGGAATGAAACGAAAAAAATATCTTTTTATCAGTACTATCAACTCTGACAGCGCGATCTGGTGGACAATAAATAATGTAGCCCCCATTAGGACCATTGTTTTACTAGGCAGAAAAGCACTATTCAATGCCGCAGCTGGCGTTTCACAGCCAACGCGTTGCCGATGCTAGGAAACGAGCCAAGGCATTTAATCTTCTTTTCTGCCATGTGAATCATCATTTTTTCTTCATATTCACTAGCGTATTAATGAGGCGCGATTAATGATCGAGATATTTTAACGTGCGAGCGAAGCGAGCGCGTTAATGTTCGAGATCATTATCGTCTTTCATTATACAAGTTGGTTACAAAATTTTTCCGTCGACTATATTTCTCATTTCTCCTGCAATGAAGAAAACTTGGTTCGCGAATTCATCATTCATCCGGAAACTGCTAAGAATCACCCAGTAGCCTTGTTACTGACATTAGTGACATTTGACATTTGTCGAAATGATCAACATAGAAAATAAATTCCTTGTGTTAGAAAACAGAGATTAAAATCGTGTCAGAAACTTGGAAAGGCGAACCCATTAACGGAAAATCTTCGATGAAATCCATATTTTCGATTTAAATGCAGATTCCGTAAGTTATAGCATAAACAATGAATGCACGCGGTGTATGTTTGGTTGCCTATAAAACAATCGTGCATTAATAGACAAATCGTTCATTAATAGGGGTCATTAATGAACGATTTCATATACATTAAACTTAGTCGTTAATACGAGGTCGACGGAAAAACACTTTCAATGTCATTTGAAGGAAAATAACTATTTCTAAATATTCATATAAGCACTTTTATACCTATGATTATCGTTAACACTTGTGGCCATGTCTTCACTTCTTCCTTGTACTCATTCACTACATTTGCTTCCATTACAACTTTTTTATTTGAAATTTTGTCAGTCATCTACATTGTTGGTTAGGATGTTCAAAAATGGTTGAATTATACTATTTTGTGAGATAAAAAACGAAATAATGCCAATTTGATAATTATTGTGAAACACAATGGTTCAAATTAAATGCTCATAATCCCGTTACTTTTATGAAACCTGCCAAATCATTATGCATACAATCATAACAGTAAAAAATGAGATTTAATATCTCAAGTATCTTTCAGGTAACTACACAGGGCGATTTTGAAATACTACGTTTTACATACCTTCAAACCTTGATGGTTTTCTGAAATCAAATTGAACAGCAAAAGTATCATGGAAATAAAATTTTCACACTTTAGAAAGTGTGTAAAAGTGTGTAAACGTGCTTGTTAATATCGATTTTAATTCTCTATAGAAATACAAACTATACCTATTCGCATAATCACTTCATGAATTAATTAGGAATGCAGGTGCAACATATCGGATCTTTGATAACTGCCGGAAAACATTTGTACTTAGCATTGAATGTACTTCCATTTCCGTTACCATTTCCGTTCGCGCTCTTCTTGGCACCCGACTGCGTCCTTTTCCCCAGATGTTTTCCATTGGAAAACTCACTAGGTCCACAAGTAGGTGGATGGGTCAAACATTCAGGAGAGCCATGGCAACCGGTCCTTTGACAGTCATCCTGCAAACCGTCTCGCTTTTCGCAGTCACACCCTGTATACAGGATACTCGCCCGAAGCTCTCGAGATTTGGACTGTTTGACGCGATGGACTTTCGCTTCGTTTTTGTTGGTGTCTTCTGATTTGACAGTTTTCTGGCATACTTTGTAACAAACCTGAGTAATATATATATAGTCGTTATGGTGGGATGAGGGGTCATATTTCCTGTTTTAAATCAGATCTTCCACTCTGAAATACTTTGGTAGGTATCGAATATATTTTCCTCGACTTTTTTTTTCGAAGGAAGTGAAGATTTCGAAGTATTTATAGATAAAATAAACTCTTCTGCATACAGTTCGTAGCTGAATGTCGTGTACATATTGAAGCAGAAACGAACGGAGGATAGGGGCAAGGGGGGAGAGCTTGCTTCCTCCTCCCCCCCCCCCCTAGCGCCTGGTCCTTATACTCAGATATTTTCTAAACAAGATACGTTTGCATTATTCGATTCCTATTCTGATTGGCGCCTAATATCGCCAACTTTTCTACGGTGTTCATAAAATGATGAAAACTACCTTGCTAGTAAAAACGTAAAAACATACTTTACGTCTCGAAAATGAGGAAAATGCTGGTAGGATTTATAGCTAGTGGTGGAAAGAGATATTATTGCTTTCAAATCAACAGCAGTTCAATGCGTTGGTATGGAAATTATACATTCGAATGTATTCTGTTGAATGTGTTCTGTATTATTGATTGGACTTTCGATGTTTTAATAACTGATGAGAATGTGTATCGATGAAAATGACCAACCTATAATTTTCGAAGTTCAATAATTCAAAAATGGTAACGAATCAATATGGATATCGAGATGAAAGATGTTCGTGTTTCGATTTTACACCAAATGGTCTAAACATATATGGGGTGTTCCGTTTGAAAAACTCGAAAAAAATCACCAAAAGTTCTGAATTGAAAAATCATTTTTAGCCACCCTGTATAATTTGAGAGCATTGAAATTCTACAGAAATATCACGCATCTTTCCATCAAATGATATTATAATTATTCTCTCTTGAATTTCATAATTGTGACTACAATGATTTTTTTCGATATGCATCTGCAGATGACATTATTTCGACAAAAAAATTTATAATTTTGAAATGATCAAGATATAGTCAACAATATTATAGTTGTTGAAGGTCACAGGGAAACTTCAAAAAATGTGCTATCATACAGGGCATTCCATTTAAAAAAATGGGTCTTGACCCTCTAGATTTTTTCCGGTGCATGCCTCCTGTATATGCGGCAATAATTTCTAGTTATGAACCTTGTTGTCTCAGTCACATTCGTTCATGAATCGAGTTTCTAGCCATCATAAAACTCGAGCAATCGAGCTCCGACGCACTAATACCCCACCCTGTATGTCCACTTTATTTTGTTCATAATTTCATCTAAGATATTCCTTCTCAATATCAGTTATTTTTGTTGAAAAGGAATGATAGATAATTTCTCACAGAAGTTTAGGAACATCTTCAATCATATTTTATTCGTGTTTCTGTCATGAAATAATAATAATATCTCTATATCAATTTTTAAACTTCAACATAATTCATTGACGCACAAAATATAGGTCATTTTCTGATGAAAAACTACAGAATTTGTTCTCTCATATAAAAATTCAGAAAACTCATTACTTTTTTTTGATTTTTCAACCGGAAAATTACTCACCATAACGTTGGGGGGGTTCAAAACAGTGTCGGCAGTGGCTTTCGATTTTTCTACATTTGCTCTCTTTGGCAAGCAACAGGGTGTGCACGGTAAATCACAAACAGGAATGCAACAAGGAACACAAATCGGTTTGGCGGAAATGGAGAGATTTTTTTCAATTTCATCAACGACGTTTTTCAAGTCGCCGATGAGTTTGGATTTGCGTTCGCTGTCTTCTTTCGGGGGGCACACGAATGCCATTTTGTGGAGTATTGGATTACTGGAAATTTTGGGGTTTCACGGAGAATTTAGAAAAGTTTGGCCGAAAACTGACTGATTTGGTATTATTGACTTATTGTGGTGTCATATCAAATGTGTCAGAAATGTTATCCAACGTGCAGGGTTATACAGGGTGTTTCATAATTGAATGTCAATATTTTGGGAGGCACTTATGACCTAAACGTCCTAACTTTTGAGATACAGGGTGGTAAAGTTCTCAAAAATTAATAGTTTATTATTAATATCTGTAATAAAACTTCAGATATTCTAATGAAATTTGGCATATACAGTGTGACCCATTTAAGATGGAAGCACCCTTATAAAACTTACATTTTTCAACCGATTGGAATGATTTTTTTTTTGTTAGGTAGATATTCAAAAAGTCTATTAGGACACCAAATATCATGAATAAATCTCCATTTCCAGGGCCAACTAATCTGATTTTTCAAGGTCAAAAATCTAAAAAAATTACTAGCGATTTTTTTAGAAAAAATCTGACTACACCACTGGATTTGTGACATTTTCAAACGGGTAACATGTAAATTACGTTGAAATGCGTCAATCAATAAAAAAGTTATAAAGGAATGAAATTTGAAAAATATGCCGTTTAATCAACCCACCAATTCATGTTCAGGAATTTTATGAAAATTCTGTATACTCCACTGGATTCAGGATGTCTTGAAATATTACAGATCACAGTTTCATCGAAATCTGTTCAGTAATAAAAATTGATGGGTTGATTAAACGGCATATTTTTCAAATTTCATTCCTTTATAACTTTTTTATTGATTGACGCATTTCAACGTAATTTACATGTTACCCATTTGAAAATGTCACAAATCCAGTGGTGTAGTCAGATTTTTTCTAAAAAAATCGCTAGTAATTTTTTTAGATTTTTGACCTTGAAAAATCAGATTAGTTGGCCCTGGAAATGGAGATTTATTCATGATATTTGGTGTCCTAATAGACTTTTTGAATATCCACCTAACAAAAAAAAAATCATTCCAATCGGTTGAAAAATGTAAGTTTTATAAGGGTGCTTCCATCTTAAATGGGTCACACTGTATGTACTATTTATCAAGAGGCATCAGTTGGTGTACCACATTTCATTTGGTTGCTACCAGTGGCGTTCGTATGGAATTTCACATACCTATTTTGGCAGACATTGATGGTACGCCACTGATTAATCTCGAAGTTAAAATTATTCCTGAAATTTCCAATCATTTCTAAGCAAATTTGACCACAACAATTTTTTCAATCTGATGCACGGTTTTCGCTTAAAAAATAAAAAGCTTTTCACTACATGATTATAGCACTATCGTTAATATGACAACATCACAATGCAGAGAAATACAATTCACAGTTTATGAACTTCGTATTCGTATTTGGGATCTTCGAATTATAAGGACTCATTGAAGTATAGGCTATATATTAATTTTTGATAACTTTACCACCCTGTATCTCAAGAGTTAGGACGTTTAGGTCATACCTTCATATGAAACTTTCTCCTTAGAATGTGCCCAAGAATCGCCTCCTCAAATATTGATATTCAATTATGAAACTCCCTGTATATCGAAGAAGCTCACCCCTATTTTCAAGTTTTTTTTTTTCATCTACAGGTCCCTGGGAGGTCTGTACAAAATCACTATACTGATGACGTCAAAATAAGCCGATACAAAGCAACTCACCTCAGTCCAAAATTGCTCCGAATGAGAGATACAGGGTGGTGAAGTTAAAAAATAAAAAACGACAAGTACACTCCAAAAAAGCATTTTGGAAAATCAATGTTTGCACTGCTCATTCACTGACCTAATTTTATCCACGAAGATACCATCAGAACATGTTTGTTCAAAATAATTAAAATAATATTCCAAACACCGAAATATCTCGGGAACGGCTTACTTCAGCGAATTTTCAGAAAAGTACTTTTTTTGCTTGAAAATATTCAGAAAATCATTTCTTCTACGAAAAGGTGAAACACTACACTGAGGAAAAAGTTATGGTCATTCTAAACCATAAGAAGTGAATTGGTTTCGCATCCCAAAAAGCCTTTGGCTACCAATTTTCGAAGTAAAATGTTCAGAAATGTTCATACATTTTGAAAAACTCGTTTTAAATTTTTTAACTTCACCACTCTGTATCTCGGAAATGGAGCAATTTCAGTCTGAGGAAGTTGCTTTGGATCGGCTTATTTTGAAATCGGGTCTATGTGCTGATATTTTGTACAGACTTTTGAGGGACACCCTGGTAGAAGAATAACTAACCTATACCGTGTCTTTCAAAAGTCTGGGAACGGTCTCATCATATTCCAGAACCGACTGGTAGAAAATTTATAAAATTTTATACAGGATGATGGTTTTTGTTGATGCAAACACGAATTCGATAATAAAAATGTGAACAATGTCTGAAAAACTGTTGATTTGGCGACATTGTCAATATCACCATTGAATTGGGAATCAAAAACAACCTTGCATCAATTT